AACAGCATAAAAATTCAACCGGAACAAGTGAGCATCAATTGCTCTAAAATCGGGTAATTACTGTAGAAAAACTTCATCACCATTGATGAATGAAATAAAAACTGGAAATGCTATAAAAACTCCAGTAATGACTGGAAGAAAAACCACCAGTGCAATCCCCCTCGCCAGTGGGAACTTCTGTCGAACACATGGTGGACGAGGGTGAAGAACTTCGGAACTCCATGGACAATTCTGCATGCTGAACGTGAAGAACCAGCAGTAACACAGCAAGAATAAACTAGGAACAGATCTGAGATAGTAGGCTTTGCTGATTAGTTTCATTTCTGGATCACAAAATTAATGGAGAATCTCTCAGCAGCTTGAACGAATCAGCTTCTGTAGTTAACAGATCCTCCAAGACCAGCAAATTCAAAGCTGCTTTCTCCATAAACTGCGAAGTTCGGATCAAGGTTCTTCCCAGCAAAATAAGAATGCAAAACAAAATAAAGGTGGAAGAAGCAGGAACAGATAAAGAGGTATCTCATCGGCTTGAATAGACTGGATTGGATGGAATATCTGATGAAATTTGAGCTGAAGCAGAAGCACTATGCTCTGATACCATGTTGAAAAAATGAAAATGAAAGAAACTGAAAACTAAAAGGATAGAGCATGCTGGAATGCAGGGAAGAAAATGAAAATTATATTCAATCAACTTAAGGATTACAATGCATATCATAGCTCTATTTATAGAGAAAATTCTAACGATCTAACAAACTAAGAAGAATCTAGAATAGGCTAGAATGAGGTGCTGAAATGAATCTGGAAGGAGCTGATTGGAAATGTNTCAACTTAAGGATTACAATGCATATCATAGCTCTATTTATAGAGAAAATTCTAACAATCTAACAAACTAAGAAGAATCTAGAATAGGCTAGAATGAAGTGCTGAAACGGATCTAGAAATGAGCTGGAGTAGAGCATGTAGAACGTGTTCTGTTGAAGCTAGAAGGATCTGGAAGGAGCACATGTGCTGGATGTGTGAACTTATTGGCTGAGCTGGAGATGCAATTCCAACATACAGATTGTAATAAGATTTTAAAATCAGTGGCAGAAGCTAGAATTTTACGAAAGAACAGGTTCAAACTTTAAAATTTTCCCATCTTAAAATGTAAACTCAAACTAAAAGTTATCAGACTCCACAAGGATTATTGACCTAAAAAAATGACAATCTAAGACGTGAGAAATAAATCTTACTATAATAAGTATGCCATCAATACCGAGCCACCACAAGATCTCCGATCATTTTGAAAATGTTAAATAGGAATGAGTATCTAAAGAAAATACTCGGTATGCTACACGTGATATATGAACATAATAATCATGCATGTCATTATGTATTCTTACACATTGC